TTTTTTCCATACTATTCGTTACATTCCGACGCTAACATTACATATCCGGAAAACTCCGCTCCAAGTCGACACAGAGGGGAGCCAAGGAAAAAATATTATACTAGGACTCCGCACCTAGAGCTATGTGCAGAGTCCAATGAAATTACATCGTGGAGGTGATTGACTCGGTAACACCAGAGAATATTCTCTCGTGTTATTCAGGTGTTATTGTGTATTATTCAAGTGTTATTGTGTGCTATTCAAGTATTATTGATGTGTTATTGTGTTATTATAACACCGGGAATATTCCCATAACACAATAACACCTGAATAAGATACAATAACACCTGAATAACACATAATAACACATGAATAACATGAGAGAAATATTCTCTTATGTTATTGAGCCATTCACCTCCACGACGGTAATTTCATTGGACTCCGCACGTCGGAGTCCTGATGTAATATTTTTTCGGAGCTAAGTTCGACGCACATTATATTGCTTATCCCAATTTTTGCTTAAACCTCAAATCTGACGCAAATCTAACACAAATCTTACACATATCAAGTTTAGCGGCAGATTATCTCTACATTAGCACACTAATTTAACTGATTCTTATATATTTTCATATCTAACCCTTAAAGTTTTACATGCCTGTCACTGAAATCTGTAACATGTACATAGAAAAATAATGGCATTATTATAATTTTCTTAAAGTGAAATACACATTTTCACGCATCCATATATAACACCAAAGTGTTATAATTGTAAATATCAAACTCTAACTATTATATATGTAAATACATAAGAATTGTGAAAAATTGAAACCACTATATGACAACAAACTCAAGGTCTGATTAGGGGATGTGATATTCTACAAAATACGTAAAAATGATTGAAGCAAACTCTCATTAATTATATTAATTAAACTCAACTATAACCATTTTTAAACAATCATGCTGAAAAATTTCACAGCAGCATCAAATCTTGAAATCTTTGTTTTCATAATAAATAATACTCCAACCTAATTCAATCTATTAACTATACTATTAACTATACAGTTTCATTCACTTTATGACGTAAATCTGGATTTATTAAATTCAATTACAGGACGAATATGTGGGATTTTCCAGTCGTCGCTTGCGTGGTCAAGTTTAATTTCCATTGCAGAGGGTTTAATAAATATGAAATCAAGTCACAGCTAAACATCACCTAAAAAGCAATGAGAAAACAAGTCATTGATGGTACAAATTAGTCCTTAGAAAATTAATTTAGCTTTAAACACAAACCCTCCCCTTCAAGCAAATTTCTTAAAAGCATTCCGCCCATGACTTCCAAGTCTTCCAAAGACTTAGAAAAACTTCATTTCTTGATCCAAAACCTCTATAAATAGCAACCTTATTTCTCCTCTGTTAAAAACACCAAAATAAATAGATAAATAAACCAAAGCCTTCCTCTTCTTCGTCCTCATCCTCCTCCAACCATGAGTTCTTATCACTTACTATTTTCTCTCATTCTCGCAATTTTTGTCGTTAATTCCTCTGCAAATCAAGGCACTGCCACATATTATGCCCCTCCATATACCCGTAAGTATTAATAAAAAATATTACATAATTCACGAGTATTTTTGTTAGAAAATTTGGATTACTAATTGTCTTGTGTCAGCTTCTGCATGCTACGGAAATCAGAATGAAGGGGTGATGATTGCGGGAGCGAGCGATGTGTTTTGGGACGACCGAGGCGCGTGCGGGAGTTCTTACAAGGTGCGGTGCATTGGCGCGGCCAACGATGTGCCCCATCCATGCACTGGCGCAGAAGTGGTGGTGAAGATTGTGGATTATTGTCCTCCGCCCTTCTGCAATGGCACCATCAATCTGTCCCAAGACGCCTTTCGTGCCATTGCTCTGCTCAAAGCTGGCAAGATAATGGTCTCCTATGACAGGTTGTTTCATTTACTTCATACATTACCACACATATATATTATAACTGTCTTAAATATCAAAATTTTGATGTTAGATATGTAAATATAATCACAATATATATTGGAGAGAGAGAGAGAGAGAGGTGGGGGCGCACATTTTCTGTCCGGACACTTGACGTAATTCTACGTGCTGTGCAAGTTATTCCTGAATTATTTTCAGGTTATTTCAGGGTTATTTTAAATAATCCTGAAATAATCCAGAAATAACCTAAAAATAACTCAGGAATACCCTGCGACGCACGTAGAGCTACGTCAGGAGTCTGCACAGAAAAATTTGTAGAGGTAGGGGAGCTAGACATTTGGCTGTCCAAATAAATCTTAATTTTTTTAAGAAAAATTTACATATGCAACACCCACCTAAACTTTGATTTTTACAATAAAAACACTTTTACCTATGTATGTCGATTTTAGTATTATTTATGCAAATTCCCCCTTTTTTTTAAATTTATTTTGAAATAAGTGTAGAAATGGATAATGGATTAATTTATTTAAACTATTTATCTTAAAATAATTTAATTTTTTTTAATTTTATTAAGTCGCTAGAAATTTTATATGGCCCAAATATATTAATTTTTAAATTAGTTGAAATTATTACGTCGGAAAAAAGATAAACGTGCTCCTTGTCCCTTCCAATGTGTACCAGGGGCCGGCTTTCTAGTTGGCCTGAAGAATAAATCTCTGGCATATTGTATTAAGGAATAAGATTTCAAAATTCTTTTGGCAAAAATATGATTAAACGCAAATTATATATATATATATTGAGAGAGAGAGAGAGAGAGAGAGAGGTATATATATAACCCTAAACACACACACACAAGAGTAGTTGTGTTGTCGGTCGTAAGCTCATCTGATCCTCGTTTGATCGATTCCTACAGGAACAGATAGCTCATATGGGAGCGATATTCTCAAATACCGCCTTTTAACTATATATATGAAATCAACATTTGGTAGAGGCCCAAATACTAATTTCTCATGCGTTAGGTCCTATGATGAGAGTCTGCGCTATGTGCCTAAATATTCGAGAACCCAATAACACTGGGGATCGAAACTGTGACCTGAGGTGACTTACAGTGAACCCCGCCAACCAACACGCCACAGCTTGTGGCACATAAAATGTAATATATATATATATATATATATATATATATAAGAGCAAGAAAGTGATAATAATCAAAGAGCACATTCCTAAATATTATCCTTCTTTTAATAATTTGCCTTAATACTCAAAATACTAATAAAATAGCCTTAGTCTCAACTAACCAAATTAAACACTAAGTAATCACCAAACTTATAATCGTATCAAGCCTAATTTAGTACTTCGGCAAATCAAATACTATTTAAATGATCTAGTCTAGTCAAAGTCCCGGTTATCTTTAATCATCCCCATAACCACCGCTTAAATAGCAATTAGCACCTGGCATCCGAGTCACTCATTATAATTAGTTTCTTAATCAATTATTGATTTAACATAACTTGTCCTCATTTGATTGGAATACTTATATTTATTTTGCTGGTTATTTTTGCAGAGCCTAGCACACGGTTGGGCGATGTATCGAACCAATAAAGGCTCATCATATTCATACATAATAATTTGCGACTGAAACAAGTTTGGAGGAGCTATAATCCATATCTTTTGTCTGTTATTTCCGGCAAATATATTGCTTCTTATGTAGCGTGTATTTTGATTTATATAATACAGTTTTGCTTCTAATTAGATTTCTAATAAAGTTCTATATTTATATACTTAACATTTGAACTTTTATCACTTAGGTGTTATAATGTTCTCCATGAAAATGTATATTTTATTTTCTTAAGGAATAAGTGATAGTGTATTTTTAATTTAATGTAAAAAATATAGTGCTATATACATGTAAATATGAAAATTTTAGATTTGTAATTACATAAGAATTGTATGGTATGTAAATGCCCAATGAAGTTAACATAACATGGAAAAATTTTAACCTATGGGAATGTTGAGGCCCTCCCTAAGAAGTTTATTACTCTATATCAGGCTTAAGATAGCCTAAGAATAACATAGACTAATGTAAATGTCATGCTTTGTGCAAGCTAAGTCATTTTAATCACTTGGCAGGACCAATTTGAGCAACATTTTGTAGTTGAACAATGATAGTTTGTAGTTTGTACTCAAGGATCGATCATAGGAGTAATATGGGTTAAAGAGATGGAGCTTATTTACATATTTATCACTCAAAATGAATATCTCATTTGTTTATTTGGAACCATTTAGTTGGTTTGATGATAGAAATTAAGGACTTGAATAGATTATTTCAGAGTTACTTCCACCTTTTCATAGTTTTCCATTCTCATACTTCAGTTCTTAAAATCCTCATTTGTAAAAAATATAAAATTGTTAGATGTTTATTTTATATTATTTTTTATTTCTCTTTGGATGATTATATGTTCTTCAATCTATCTTTGGCTCTCTTTTATCTCCATATATCTCTATGATATATTAGGTCAACATAATTATTTATCTTACAAGGTTTTCCTCCTTGGTCAAAATATATATGATTTTAAAGACCATATTATTATAAAGATTATGATTAAACATTCAAACATATAAAACATAATCATAATTTTTTTTAAAGTGTGATTATAAAATAGAATGCATAAAATACATTTATTAATGATTTTGATTATTTGTTAAGGAAATAACTATCTCTCTAAAAACAACTTGGTTTTGACATTGAAATGATGAGAGATAATGTTTGTGACAATTTGTAGAATACTACCATTAAATAAGTAAATAGTTTGAGAGTGATAATTGTAGTCATCATCTTATTCATAACAAAGCAGTATGGTGTGAGGCAAGCAGTGTTCCATGGTATAAGAGATGAATTAATGTTCGTAAAAAAAATGACTAGCCTTCATAGCCTTCTTGATAGTAATTCATATAATTATTTTTTCCTCTATTCACGAAACCTTTGAACTTTAAACAATCATTTCAAGATGGTATAAGTAGCTGATATTTATTTAAGAGTGACAAATAAGTAAAATGAGTTATTAGAGTCATATTTAAAATGACTGGAGCAATTATTGCTCAAAAGTTAGTAGAGGATAACAACTAATTTGACTATTATAAATCTCTTCTGGCAATCCAATCATTTTTTGTGGATGTGTTAATGCACAGGTTAGAGAGTTGTCTGAAGTTTGATTTCTCTTTTTATGTTCATTGTTTGATAGCATTGTTAGATAACTTGCAGCTTGGATAATGTGAACACCCTTCCAAATCAAATATGTGAGATATTCATCACCCAATCCAGCTGAGATAGAAATATTATTTTCAACATGCCCAACAATCAATTAGAAATAAATTTCACTATCTTATAAATGTAGCTAGCATATAAGGGTTTTTCTCTTCCTCTCTGGTGGATGTGATGGAAAATAAAAGAAAAATGCTAAAAGAATGTCAGGAAAATAAATGCGTGTGCTAAAAAAGGGAGAATTTTATCAAAATTGTTTCCTTTCAAATTCTTGTTCATGCAATGCTTTCTATTGCTTTGCTTTCCATTCTAGCAACATTTTTGGGCCCTTTTTAATTAAATGTTCATAATCCTTTTTCACTAAGACATACATCAAGTTGGTCTTTTCTTTCCCTTTATTTCACCTCCCTTTAAAAAAGGTTATGCAAAAGCACTTTCTTAGGTACATGACATACTTAATTAAACACTAAGGATTAATATTAATTACGATTGATAACACCACATATTACTTATTTTTGTTTTTCCTCATGAAATCTCTCTTTCAATCAATATTGCTAAAGAGCTTGAAGAGTGGAGACATTTTTCTCTCCTCATGTTCCTATTAAAGCTAACAATCTCCACTAACTACAGTAATGGAATGCTAAATATTTTTCTTAGTTCTTAATTTTCTGTGCACTTAATAGAACCAATTTTTAACACATGACATAATCACAAATTATAATAATATTAATATGAAAGATATATTTTTATAAAAAGTAATATGACCATTAATTTCTCTAAAATATAATTATGAAATAACCTCTTAGTTTTTTAAAGCTCTGTTGTTTACTTACAAAATTATGATGGGAAACTTGATATATTATTTTTCAAAATGTATCACTATTATGTTAGAAGTATGATAAATGGTATTTTCTTAGGCATAATCTTGAAACTTAATACTAAGAATAAAATTCAAGTTTTTTTTTTATTTAAACATTTGAGGTTTGCTTATTATTTTAATAATGACTCATCCATGTCATTATCACTATTAAGAAGTACAACTAATCAAATCTGATGAAAAATCACAGTATAAGTAAATTTGCGTCGGCCAAATCCGATGCAAATCGAATGCAATTTCGACGATATTTTAGGTATATCGTCGGATTTACATTTTCGCGGGTAAATCGGAGGATGTTAATCTTAATTCTGTTGATTTTGCGTCGAAAAACTTCGAAGCAATTAAGTTGCGTTGGTTTTTGCATCGTAGTAGTGTCAGATTTGTTTAGGCTAGACGTCAGATTTGTTTAGGCTAGAAGTCGTAGTAGCGTCGGATTTGTCTAATCTACTAATAACAATATCCCTATATTGCCATCACATTAACAACAAACCCAATGCATTCCCCCACTTTATCCAATCAACATTAATTCTTGCTAATAACATCCCCTTAATATATTTACATGCCTAGCAACTAAGCTCTATTTTTTACAAAGATTTTCACATCCCTACCGCTCAATTCTTATGTGTGTGTGTGTCTGTGTTTGTGCATGCATGTATGACACACACACACACATGCCTAACACCTAACCTTTAATTTTTACATACATACAACATTACCTATTTAAGAAGATTATCATATATAAATACCAATTAACTCTTATGTATATATAAGCCTAACACTTAAACGTCAATTTTACATACATACCACATTATATGAACACAGATATTCATACATTTCACTCAATTCATATGTATATACATACTTAACACCTAAACTTCAATTTTTATATGCATACCACACTACCCATGCATGAAGATTTCCATACAAGCCCTATGATTTTTGTACATACCTAACACCCAAAGAATACCTATCAAAAAATACATTTCACTTTTTCAGAAGTTAAAATGAGAAAGAGTGGCACAAATAGACTTTCCTTCCTCAATGTTTTCTGGTATGAGCGGAGCAGAAGGGTGAGAAATATGGGAGTTTCGATGGCCTCAGCAAGCTACCTTCCGACCGCAACTTCATAGCTAGCTCTAATGGAGGCTGCATCACAAAGGCTCGTAAGCAAAGGTAATGGTTTTGAGCGAAACCAAACAGGAGGGAGAAAGGTGGAGGCTGCGACGGTTTTGGAAAAAAAGGGGGAGCACGAGAGGCACAGAGAGAAGAAAAAATTTTGGCACGCGTGATATGTATTTTAGGTTTTTGGTGTCGACTTTCCTTCGCATTTGTGTCAGATATAATTGAACACTAATAAGTAAAATACTTTTGTCAAATATGTCACAAATCAATGCAAAATATGTCGCAAATCCAATGTCTTGTTGTTTTAAAATACTTTTGCGTCAAAATATTGGATGCAAAATCGATGCAACATCAGCCGCAAACATTAAATTTTATTTTTCTTCGCTTAATAGTTGCAAACCCGACACTAATATTTGCGTTAGAAAAATCTAATGCAAAGACCTGATGCCAATAACAACTTCTTCGGTCATGTGAAGAAGGCAATCAAGAAATGGGCAATTATGCCCATCAAACTATGGAGGCCCAACATATTAATTAACCTCTACCTCTTCTTCTATTTCCTATGATATCATGAAACAATAAGCATGCCTCCATTATAAACTTCTAATTACTTATTTTAGAAGTAACAAAATTTTATCGAAGCACTGTCCATAGGACTAAATCAAGCTCGAGTTATTCCATCCTCCATTAATATCATTAAACCCTTTTTCCTAAATATAAAAAATACAAATATGATTTTGATATTAGAATAATCAAATTTGGTAGAGTATCATCCACAATGTTATTGGTCTAAATAATCAAATGATGATGTGACATAATTGGGACGTAATGAATCACATGATGATTATGATGTACATGAAACATAGAAGATATCACATAATCTTACCATCATAATTTTATTTCGAGTGAAATAACATTTAGCTACAATTTGCTTTGTTTATCCTAAATAATTTGTTGGAGTTGAAGTAATATGTAATTATAATAATGATTGTGATTGTAATATTCATGAAAGGACTAAGCATTATACAAATATTAAAGTTGTAAGGGTTCATTCTCTTAAGCATTCATTACTATTTTAAGTTGATTTACTTTCAAGTTTTGGAGCATACCAACTATGATAATATAACACATCATTGATAGGACAAATCTATTTGGCAAATAATTGAATTATATTGTTTAATTAAAAGTAAGATTTTGAGAAATTAGGGCGAAGAAAAACATGAATCGACACAAATCCAGAAGAACACACAGAGATTTAATGAGGTTCGACAAAAATGCCTACAACCCAAAAGTGCCTACAACCTCGATAGCAGAGCAGCGACTTCCTTTTCAATATTCAGAAAAGAGCACATAATACAAGATTCAGCTCTCACTTAGGCTCACCTAGGTAACATATATATAACTCTATAGTACAATATGTAATTACTTAAATTACTCATGCA